CACACACACACACACACACAAAACAAACAAACAAACAAACAAAAAAAAAACAGTTCGTTTTGTGTGTTAGGAGGAATTTGACGAAGTTGAAGCACCAGTTCTAGAAATAGTCACATGCACAATTTTGATGGGAAGCATCTCATAGTGGATTGGAAGGTTCGCCGCAAACTGAAATTGATTATACACACTTAGAATACACAGATCGAACCGAGGGATATATATTATATATGTATATATTGTGAAACAGAACTGCGCGATAAGCCGTGTATGCAGAGAGGGACAAGAGGACAAAAGACCAAGGGGCTGTGACAGACTGTTTCTTTGGAGTTTCACTCTGCTGACTCATCAGGACGCTGAACCCCCTACAGTCTGCAGAGTTCCCTAACCGATGATACTGAAAGTGATAATCCACCTTAACCCAGGTCGCGGTTGAAGCATCAATGACTGCCCGACAACTGATACCCCTCTGAGGTAGTGGGGACCACCAACCCCTGCCCTCAAGGTACCTGTGACGAAAATCATAGCAAACTAAATCTCACCCACACCAGATGGAAAGCTAGGTTCACACCCCATTATAAGCCAGTAAAACACCCACAAAACAAAGAAAGGTCATGTGGGTGCCTAGCTGACCACATGCATCGAGCATCAAACAACATGGACACGCAATGCGGCAGGTATATCAAGTGATCTCAATGACAACGACTGTGTTCAGATTCTTCAGAAACTTTATTTGTGATTTAAAAAAAAATGGATTGACCAATTGTACAATTATTAGATTCTGTAACTAGATTCTGATCTAGGTTCAGAAATTCAGCCGCCAAGCGAAAAATGTCGAGTGTTGTCATTGAAATTATATTTGTATTTTCAATTTTAACTTTTAAGTTTTTTTTTTTTTTTTTACGTTGTACCCAACTCACTCTTTATGTGTGTGTGTGTGTGTGTGTGTGTGTGTGTGTGTGTGTGTGTTTGACGTCTTTGAGTCCTGTGTACGATATCGGAAATGTTCAGAGCAAGTGCTTTGCTGTTGTTGTGATTGAGCACCTCTCATGTTTGCCGTTTCTTGCGATCCCCTGGTCCTGGTTCCTCCTCCCTGTGTTCGCGGTTTATCGCACTTCCTGCAGATTCTTATGGGATGAGGCCAAGTACCCCACAATCGCACCCCTGCGAGAGACAGTGGATTCCATTCACGAAAATGTGACGAAGCTAGAAGACGACTTGAAGGTGAGACTCGTTTTCTTATGAAAGAAGACTCAGAAGAGGGATGGAGGGGTCCATAGTACTTCATTGTGATTTTTTTTTTTTTTTTTTTTTTTTTTTTTTTTTTTTTTTTTTTTTTTTTTTTTTTTTTAATGGTGCTTCTTTTTCAGTTGTGGGATCAGGATATACCGGCCGACGGGTCGTAACAAGGTTTGGGAAGGCCCGCCTCTCACGTACGACAGGAGTGCGAAAAATCCACTCGTCATCATGTTAGTTATTTGATACTGTTTGGTGTTTCTTTGTGCCGTTGACTTCAAAGTTGGATTTTCTGGTTTGCTACCGTCCTGTCTTTTTTGGGAAACACAATGCACTGCCATCTTGACTGCATCTGACTGGAAATATAGCCTCTATTCCTTATTCATGATGGAGGGTGCGTTGTGTTCAGGGGAAGACGGTAGCGGATCTGAGTTTTGTGTTGCACGATTGAACGTGCTGATTCTACTCTGTGTTCTTTGAAATTGCAGTGGGAGCTCTTTTTTTTTCCCTTTTTCCTTTTGAAAGAAAAGCAGAAGAAAAAAGGGTGACGGCCTCGGGATATCTTCATCGATCGGACCGAAACTAGGTAATTCACAATGATTTATTTCATTCATCAAGGTCGAGCAGGATTTGAGCTCAGGTCTGTATTTCGGCAGCTCATGTGTGTTGCCAACTGAGCTAGGCTCGTGTTCTTGCAATTCTTAGGATAGGAGGTTGATGTGGAATCATGGATGCTTCTCTGCTAAAGGCTGACCAAGCCGATGATGATGATGATGATGCTGAGCTCATCTTTTACCACTGCCAAATGTGCTACTGAGTGAAACGATTTGCATTTGTGATAAGTTTGCTTGCTTTCTTTTATTCTTGTTGGCTGAGTCCATTTGCCTGCCTATTCCAGCTAATACAGCTCTTACTCTCTCTGAGCATACGAGTTCTCTGCCAGCTTGGATCTGAGCTGGCGACATGTTTTCACCGAGTTTCCTGAGCACAAGTCTGTAGATATGTTTTCACAGACTTTCGTGGAGTGTAAAATGAAGTCTGTAATCTGTTGATGCGTTTTGTGTCAGATGCGACTTGCGGAGTACAACAATGTCAAAGGGCAATTGGCAACGATGACACGTAAAGCAACTGGCAGGTACTTTTGCACCCACCTTCCCCCTTGAGGGTACTGTGATCGTGTCCGACTTATTAAATGAAGGTGTCGCCCCACCCCTCTGTATTTATCACAGTTGATATTGCGGTTCTGTGATCGTGTCCATTCCACACTAGCAATGGGCATTAGATCCTGAGAACACCAGAAAGCATAACAGTTGGAAGGGGGGGAGGGGAGAGAGAGAGAGAGAGAGCTGTCTCTTATACACATCTAGATGTGTATAAGAGACAGACCATCCCCACCACAGTTGATGCAACCCCCCCCCCCTCTCCGGCCCCTGTCCCTGCCCCCACCCCCACCTCAGCTTGTTAATGTACAGAACCAACAACGGTGCTTCGTTATGGGCCCGCTCTGCTCTTAAACTGCCGGTCTACTGTTTCATTGCTTTTCGTATACGAGCACCTTACCTGGGCGGTCTGGCCCAGGACCGGTAGAGCGATGTTAGGTGAGGGCTGGTGGGCCCACAAAGTAGAAAATTGTACAACCCCTGTTCGTTGCTCACGTGACACGATGTGAAATGATGAATGGTAAGTGGGGCTGGGCGGAGCATCCTGAAGATGAGAGGTAGAACTTGCCAGGGGGGAAAAAAAAAAAATTCAGAGAAGTAACTAACCCAAAAAAGAAAGAAAAACTGTTACCTCAGACGCATGACAAGACGGCAGTTTTTTTTTTTGTTTTTTTTTTTCGTTGCATGGAAGAACTGCCCTGCCAGCTCAGCAGGGTGGACTCGAGAAACTGCAGCAAACCCCGACCTGGCTGCACTACAAAACACAATCTGGACAATAAGATGCCACTGATACATATAGATTCTAGAATGTTGTGTTTGGTGTTCTTGTTTTTTTTTCTTTTTCTTTATTTTTCCTTGCTGGAAACCGCAAGAATGAGGCCTCTGCCCGCTGGTCCTTGTGTCACACACACTGCTGGTACCGGTACCACCTCAGATTTGCCAACATGCGGATCCGTGGATTTCCATGTGCTGCTGCTGCTGCTCTCTCTCTCTCCCCCCCCTCCCTCTCTCTCTCTCTCTCTCTTGCTCGCTCGCGCTCCCCGTCAAATATCTCTATGCTGTCAAATCGCTACTGACGACGTCCACAGTTTTTTCCTTTTTTTTGTTTTTTGAGTCCCAAACGTGCTGGTTACCAGGAGGCCCGCCCTTTTTCAGTTTGTCCATTGGATTGACTATCCGATGTCCACAGTTCCCCCTTCCCCCCTCCGCTCCCTCCCTTTTCAAACTCCCCCCCCCCTCCCCTAGTCCCCCGGCGTTCTGTGTTCACGGTTTGACCCAAGCTTTCCAGAGTTTGCGGTAATTCAGGGGACAGTTAGTTCTATTTAGGTTGAATGCTTTAATTAGCTGTGCGCTAATCCGGTGTGGTCGATTTGTGTGTGTGTGTGTGTGTGTGTGTGTGTGTGTGTGTGTGTGTGTCTGTGTGTGTCTGTGTGTGTGTGTGCAGTTTCGGATTCCCGAATTGCGAGTAGGGACTCTCGACTCGCTGTTGTCTCTCAGTGACGATTTAGTGAAGGTATGGTTGATCCAATATGATGCCCTCTCTCTCTCTCTCTCCTTTTGTTGACACATCTGATGAGCCTGTTTTCCTCTCCTCTTACCCCATCTTGCTATGTATGTGTATCTATCTATCTATCTATCGTGGGTGCTATGTGGTGTGTTCACTTAAGTTCAGTCGGCCTTTAATGGTATGTGGGGTGCAGCTTTTCGTTTTCTCTCTCTTTTTGCTTTCTTAATATTAGCCACCTCATGATATATTTTTCAACAAGTGACAGCCATGTAGAGTCGTAATGCCAGGTACAATTCACGGACTGTTTATTCAGTAAATGCCACAGCAATCTTGAGCCCTCAAGAACATTCAGATGCGTGTGCATTCATAGAGAGCTCCCAGAAATTGTCTTCTTCTGACGGCCATAGGAATCAGTGACGGGCATGTTTTTTTTTTTTTTTTTTTTTTTTTTTTGGTCGGAAGCTATTTTGTTGAGTGAAGACAAAAGGAACTCGTTT